GAGTGTGGGCATGGGGGGTGAGTGGCGGCATGGGGGGTGAGTGTGGGCATGCGGGGTGAGTGTCGGCATGGGGGGGTGAGTGTCGGCTCTGCAGATGGATCATGAGTCAAACAGGCTTCGGATGGACACACCTGCCGCTGAGAAGCCATTAGAGAAGGCGAAGGAGAGGTTGAGGGCACTTCTTGGCACTGTGGAGAGAAGGCGAAGGAGAGGTGAGGGCACTTCTTGGCACTGTGGCAATTTGAAGCACAACATTCACACCCAAGCTGCACCTTTTCTCTGGGGTTTGTGGAAATTTTGACTTGGTAGTGGAGTTTATGGTGGCGTCAGCCATTCCTGAGGAGGATTGGGTTACTTGGCTTGAGGTTGGGGAACTCAGACTTGTATTTTGAAATAGTGTCTAAGGTGCAAGTGGAATTGGAACGTGGCAGTGTTTGAGACTTGGCAGAGCTCAGCACCATGTCCGGGATGAGGATATAACACTGATATCCTGGGTCTAGCCTCTGGAGCCGTGGTGTGTGAGGCAGAGCCGAAGTGAGTCCCAAGGAGGCACCACTGGCAGGGGCAGGGGACACTCTGGAGCGACCAGTTCTGTAGCCACTGGTAAAAGGTAGCTACTTTGCAAGGTGGCCATGACACAGCAGCCCCAGAAGGACACAGAACCTTCTCCCACCCTTGCTGTGAGCAGCAGCCCTGCACCCACTCTTCTCCTTGGACCTGACCCTGAGCACTAAAACCTGAGCACGTCCAGGAACCAGTGCCTTGTGAGCAGCCTACAGAATGGTGAGGGAACACCTCTGCAGCCCCTGGACACGAGAACCTTGTGATTGGAGTAGAGTGGCACCCCACAAACATCCAGGTGAAGGACTAAGGACCCGGGAGCAGCAGCGGCTGTACCTTCTGGTCAGCAGACAGACACCTCTCCGCCACAGCCAGCGCTGGCTTGGAGGCTTTGTGGCACTGAGCTGTTGTGGTGTGCTAGGAGCAGGCAGGTCAGGTAGTTGCAAGGAGATGGGATTCCCAGCTCTCCAGTGCTCTGGGCCTGCAGCTGTGCCATAGTAGAGAGCCCAGCTTGGGCCTGGAGCCAAAACCATGCCCCAAGTCCTAAGGTGAGTGGCATGCTAGACCCAGTCCCTGTGCCTGCCGTGTTAACAGAGAAGTAAGTGCCAGGAGACAGACCAGACAGCAGCATGCTTGCACCGCCTCCCATCTTAGTACTGAAACATTACAGAACCTGCCCGGGAACTCGGGGCTCAGTGCTGCGGTCTGCCATGAGGGAGGCGGGGCTGGGATGCGGAGGCTGGCAGCATGAGTGTTGATATGCCTGGGAGTGGGGTGGTTAGAGAAGACTTCAAGAGACAGGTCAGGTCCAGATGTGCACCTCTGTTAGAGCATCTGCCAGCCTGCAGGCACTAGTCCTCACCTACGCTTTGCCTCTGCTGTATTTGTAAACCCTTGCCATCCTGCTGAATAAGAACAGCTGACCTCCCTGCTGGGGTCAGGGTTCAGCCAGGACACCACTTCCATGAAGTGCTGTCTCTCCTGGATGAGGCTGGCCTCAGCCTGTTCGACCTAGGACTGGAGAGGCGGTATCCTCCAGAGCTCACTGGCCGCTCTCTTCTGCCTGGTTTAGGTCCTGCCCAGCGTGCAGTCTGATGCCCATCCAGCCCTTTGACCACCGGGAATGGAATGAGCCTATGCACTCCCTCCGGATCAGTGTCGGGGGCCTTCCTGTGCTGGCATCCATGACCAAGGCCACAGACCCTCGCTTCCGCCCCCGCTGGAGGGTGATCCTGACGTCCTTTGTGGGTGCTGCCCTCCTCTGGCTGCTCTATTCCCATCATCAGGCCCCAGTACCGGGCAGGTCCCCCACCCACAATGCACACAGCCGGAGGTTCAACCCGGAGCACGTCTCTCACTACAATGACACCTATCCCCTGTCACCCTCCCAGAGGACTCCAGGTGGGATCCGGTACCGAATCGCAGTCATCGCTGACTTGGACACGGGGTCCAGGGCCCAGGAGGAAAACACTTGGTTTAGTTACCTTAAGAAAGGCTACCTGACCCTGTCGGACAGTGGGGACAAGGTGACCGTGGAGTGGGATAAAGACCGTGGGGTCCTGGAGTCCCACCTGGCAGAAAAGGGGCGGGGCATGGAGCTCTCTGACCTGATCGTCTTCAATGGGAAACTGTACTCTGTGGACGACCGCACGGGGGTCATCTACCAGATCGAGGGCACCAGACCAGTGCCCTGGGTGATCCTTTCTGATGGCGACGGAACCGTGGAGAAGGGTAAGTGGAGCCCTTCTCTGTGGGCTGAGCTTTTGTCCACTGCCATATTAGTTTCTCACTGCTGTGACCAAACTGACGGGGTCGGGGTCGGGGTGGGGGTGGGGTTACTGTGACTCCCAGCTTAGGCACAGTCCATCGCGGTGGGGAGGCCACAGTGACAGGAGTGTGAGGCAGCTAGTCACACGGTCAGGAAGCAGAGGTGGATGCTGGTGCTCAGTTCGCTTTCTCCTTTTCATTTAGTCGGAACCCCAACCTGTGGGACGGTTGTCACCTATATTAGGGTGAGTTTTCCTGCCCAATCTAGAAACTCCTCACCTGCATGCCCAGAAGTTTGTCTCCATAGTGATCACGAATCCCATCAAGTTGACACCCAAGATCAACCACAGAACGTAATCCAAGGCCCTGGTGACATTTCATTCAACTCCAACTGACCCCCGCCCCCCCTCTACACTTAGCAGAGCCTTGCCGGGATTATATGAAGCTGTTTCTAGAAGTTTGAGCAGATCACTGGGAGCCTGCTGCTGAGTGGGAAGCCCTTTTCAGAATGAGCCAAGGCTGTGTCCACTGCCTCCCTTGCCCCTTAAGGGACCCTGGTCCTTGTCATGTCTTCAGAGGTGTCTTAGGATCATTCAGTATTACTCCCACCAGGTGACTCACCTTCAAAGCTGGGTACTCGGTGGTTCACTGTGATCCCAGATTCTAATCTCAGTTTATTGGGGCCACAGGTCAGCTGCTGCTACCCAGCCCTGCTCTGAGCCCAGTGCAAGGGTCTCTGTGTTGAGCAGCAGTTACCCCTGGGAATAGACTGATGCTATCCCCATGTGTAGCAGAGGAGCCGCTGCTTCCCCAGGGTAGAGGAACGAGCTGCCTCACCTCAGCAGGTCTGATCTGTCCTCACAGCAAGCTGGAGACCCTGCAGACTCCTGGGGTGGAAGAAGGCTGATTCACTGTCCCTGTACATAGCCTGCCAGGCCCTGCCTGGGTGATAAAATCTCTAGTGTTTGTCCAAGGCTGGGCTCTTGGGAGGGCCTCTCTCCACCTCCGTGCCAGTGATGATGATGCTCACCCATTTCCTGCTCATAACCTTCAGGGTTGTCAGCCTCTGTTGTGTGGGGTGGGAAGAGTGCAGGGTCATAGGTGCTTAGGGCTGAGTTGTGACTGTTCATCCAGAAGGGTCAAAGGTTGGCAAATGGGGCAGCTTCTCATGGAGGCAGCTCAGAAGACTCATGAGGTCACGGGCAACAGGGACCAAGCCAGTCCCTCCAGAGTCACTCTAGGGGTGTCAGAGGCCTCCATCCTCCTACAGTGGGGAGGCAGATGCAGCCCTGGCTTCCCAGGGCCTAGGGAACTTGCAGGAGTGTTGGAGAGCTGGCATGTGTGGGAATGTCGGGGGAGAGTGCTGGGACCACACAGCTTCATTGCTGGCGTGTCCAGGAGGCCTGCGCCATCAGTTAAGATGGAGGAGCTCCGGGTGAATGCTCTGAAACGAAGGCGAGGATGGTGAGCACCGCTGCCTCGTCCTTAAGACCCTGCCACTGTGCTTTCTTCCCCTGCTAAGGGGAGAACAGACCCACGTGGTGGTGCCCTACAACCTGGCAGGTGAGAGGCAGGAAATGGTAGCCTGTGCTAAGCTGTCAGCTCTGGCCCTCGGTGGCCGATAACTGCCACAGCACTTGGAAGCTCTGATCGCTGTGGATCGCTGTGGATTGCTTTAGACTGCTGTGGCACAGGGGCTCCTGAGGCTGCTGGCGTCACAGGACGTGGGGTGGGGTTGCTGGCCCTTGGGAGCCAAAGGGTGGGCGGAGACCTAGCACAGGAGGTCTGGACTGGTCTGATGCGGTTCTAGAGTTGCAGAGGAGATGGGGCTCCTTGGGAGGAAAGGGGTACGGAAGAGGATGTGGGGGCTCTGGGACCCAGCACAGGTCTGCCAGGCTCCCTTCTGGGCCTCTCATGCCGCCTCCAGTGAACCTCAGGTGTGGTGACTTGTGACGTCCAGGAGGCTTGGTGCCACTCTGGATGCAGCTGACGGCTGCACAGGCGACCGGGGTCTCAGGCCGCCCTCTCGTTGCCCCAGGCTTCAAAGCTGAGTGGCTGGCTGTGAAGGACGAGCACCTGTACGTGGGTGGCCTGGGCAAGGAGTGGACCAGCACCACAGGGGAGGTGATGAACGAGAACCCGGAGTGGGTGAAGGTGGTCGGCCACAGGGGCAACGTGCAGCACGAGAACTGGGTATCCAGCTACAATGCTCTGAGAGCTGCCGCTGGGATCCAGCCGCCAGGTAAGGCTCTTCTCGACAGGCTCCCAAGTCTGAAGGCCTCACGGCTTGCTCGGGTTTGTTGATGATACTCTCCTCGTGTAGGTGGATTCTGAGACAGATAAGCCATTTCTGTTTCTGTCCCTCACTAGCCTCAACAGATGGCCTCTGCCCACTGCACACCGCAGTCCCCTCATCCACAAAATTCGTCCTTGGTTTGGGGCCCTAATGGCTGGGGTCATGGCCCTCATAAGCAGAGGAGGAGAGGTTTAGGGCCTGAGCGGCCTTCCCCTGGGCTCTGAGGAGCGTGACCTTCGTCTGAAAGGCTGAGTCAGGTGTGGGGCAAAGGGCAGCAGAGAGCCAAGACCCGAGAGCTCTTCCATGCTGAAGTGGGTGGAGGTGCTACTGGCTAGGTTTCCCTTTCGACTGGTTGACCTTCTCTGTGCCCTGAGCCCTGGGCACCATGGGAACAAAGCACAGACAAGTGGTGAAGGCTGCAGGCCCCTGAGGGCATGATGGCAGCTGGGGGGGATGAGACGCTGTAGACTCAGTACCGCTCTCCAGCTGTGCTGCACCGCTCTCCAGCTGTGCTGCGTCTGCTGCACAGTCGTCCTAGAGCAGCTGTGATTGTTCTCCAGGAGCTGGAGATTAGAGGGAAAGGTGGGGTGGGGCCCCTCCAGTGTAGCCTCTGGGGTCGCAGGACTCTGGAGAAGAAGGGCTGTGATGTGGTGACTGGTCTGTGCTGTGACCCCAGGCTACCTCATTCACGAATCCGCCTGCTGGAGTGACACACTGCAGCGCTGGTTCTTCCTGCCACGCCGGGCCAGCCACGAGCGCTACAGCGAGCGGGCGGACGAGCGCAAGGGCAGCAACCTCCTGCTGAGCGCAGCCCAGGACTTCAAGGACATCGCCGTGAGGCGCGTGGGGGAGCTGGTCCCCACTCACGGCTTCTCATCCTTCAAGTTCATCCCCAACACGGACGACCAGATCATCGTGGCTCTCAAGTCAGAAGAGGACAGTGGCAGGATTGCCACCTACATCATGGCCTTCACGCTAGATGGCCGCTTCCTGCTTCCAGAGACGAAGATCGGCAGTGTCAAGTATGAAGGGATAGAATTCATCTAGATGAGTAAGTTCGCATGCCCAGCAAGGTGAGGGCGCGTGGCCTGAGCCACACCAGGACTCGATTCCATAAAAACAGAGGAACGCACTTTGGCTTGTTTGGTGATTTCTTTCTTTTTTTTTTTTTTTTAACTGAGCTGGGTGTCTGGATAGAGATTTCCAGAGCAAGGGCAGGCGGGGGTCCAGGACAGGAGCAGCAGGGCCTCGCCCACCCATGCCTCACTCTGCACTGCCACCTTGTGGTAGGGATTGGTCACTGCTTCAGGTACCTGAGCCCCTGGCCACAAAATCCAGCCACGCCCCTCCTTCCCTCCATCTCTTTCCTGGCCTCTTGCCTTTCCCTGGGTTCTCTGGCCAGTACGTGTCTGAGGTGGCCAGGTGTTGAGTCCTAGCCTCACCCTGGGAGTTTGAGGTGGGCCTGCCAGATAGGCACCCTAAGGCACCCACCCCTCTTCCTCCTAGGTGACCCTGGCATTCCACACTCTGCAGACCTCTGGAAAGTAAATGTTTACAAGGCAGAGCAAGGGCCCCACCCTTGGGCCACACCTGCCCACACTTCTGAAGCCGCCTCTGCCGAGCACAGGGTTCCTGCTGCCCAGGGCCGAGGCCGCCTTCCACCCCTCGGGAGGGGTCTGGCCGTTCAGCCCTTTGACTTACTAACTTATTCAAGTAATTTCCTTTCCTGTAGAACAGTCGCCAAACCTCCTCACACAGCAAAGGTGGAGTTTCCACACCTCCCAGCGGCGAGGGAGGGAATCGTCCCCACAGCCGCAATGGCGACACTGTCTTTTACAGAAAGGGACTCTGGATCCTTGGCCTCTGCCTTCTAGCAACTTCAAAAGCTGCCATGTCTCCCCTCCGGCAGTGGCCGAGGGAGGGCTCTGGTTCCCGCAGGCCGGCCCCTGACTAGAGGCCATCCTTGTTGTCCCCTGCATCTCCTGCTGGCTCCCAGCGAGCGTTGAGCAGCCTTCTCCGGGGAGCCTCACTGTTGTCTGCTCTCCTCCTGTCCATGCTCGACACCAGAGGCCGCAGAGTCGGGGTCGGAGGTTGTCCTTAGGGGCGGCCACCTCATCATCCTGCGACAGACACCCTTAGGACAGAGGCCCTGATAACCCTCACAAAGCACTTCCACTGGGAGGCCAGGAGGGCCACTGCCCCGGGGGTGACTCCCACTTGGCAGCCTGCTGCTGACTCGTGATGGTGACACCTTTGTGTGCTCTCTGATTTCCGCTGGAGCTCAGCCATTCCTCTGATGGTTGTCAACTGTGTCAGAGTGCGTGATTCTAAACTGGAAGGAGAAATGAGGGAGCCCGAGAGAGGCCTAGGGACCCTCACCAGAGAGACAGTGTGGACCTGGGACGGACGGACGGGCAGCCTTCACACCCCTTCCTTCCCTGGACATCAGCGTAGAGAGTGTGTCCTTCCCTCTGTCCATTTGTTCTGTCAGCAATAAAGTGTCAGGGGAATGTGGTTCTCTTGTGTGTGTTGACTGTTGCCAAGGGCTAGGATGTCTGAGCAGGTGGGGTGGCGAGCCTTGGAGTCACAAGGTGGGCACCTCACTCGTGTCTCCAAGCCTCGTGGGAAGAGCAGTGTGTGGGGCTGGTGCTGTCCACGCCATGTCTCCCCAATCTGCTTGTTACTGGGGTCGGGACAGATTCTGCAGTGCTGGAACCAGGGCCACAGAGTCACGAGCCAGCCTTGGTGTCCCCACCTCCACAGAACAGCAGACAAAGGTTTACTGGTGTGGCCACACTGGGCAGAGGAACAAGGAAAAGGCTCAGCGTGGACAGTGCCTGCCACGTCAACCTGACAGACTGAGTGATCCCGGGAACCCACGGTGGAAGGAGGGAACTGATTGCCAGCTGTTCTCGGTTCTTCATGTGCCGCCCTGTGGCACGTGCCGCCTCACGTACACTTACACACAAACACACGGGGTGTGGGGGTGGGGAGACGGGACAGAGAGAGACAGACAGAGTGAGAGAGAGAATGACTCTCCCAAGCCCTTCTTTGGGTTCCTGACACACAGTTTAGGTTTAAACAGAAGGCAAGAGTTATGCCTAGCTAAACAGGCCCTGGTCAAGGTGTGGTCCTGCCCATCACTGAGTCTGGCCCTGGCTCCTCAGCTGTCTGGCCAGGTAGCCTGACAAGTCAGACCATGTGGAATCCTTCCAGGAGACAAGGGTCTTCTCTGCTGGCAGCAGGCCTCAGCTTTTCCCCTCTTAGGTGAGCCCCCTGGGAAATTTTCAGTTTCTTGTAACCCACTACATCAGTTGTCGGGTAGGCAAGGAGAGGGATGTGGGTGTCTGTGTCTCTGTCTTCCCTGTGGTCCATTTTCTATGCAGAAGGCAGATCATCTTGGAACCACTGCCCAGGGCAGCAGGGACCAGAGTGTTCAAATAATGTGCACATGCGGATCATTTGAGGGAACCTGGGAAGTTTGCTGACAAATGACACCAGAGTATGTGGAGAATGTGCCCCTCCAAGGATGTACAGAGGTCCCCAGGTTGAGACTGAGGACACCCCAGAGGGATGAGGAAGAAAAGTTACCAGTATATCACCCCATTTCATGAGAGACGCCCCTAAACAAAGGCTGTTTGGTCATACTTAAACCTGTTACCGTAAGAGACCATTTTCCTTCCAGTGTTGAAAAGCAAAGGATCACGGGTTTACTCTGTGGCCAGAGAAGGGAGAAGTGGGGCCTGGCTTCCGAGGCTGGGTGTGGAAGCCACAGATACAAAGCAGAAGAAATGGGAAGCCGGAGGCCCCGCGTCTTCTGGGAACCAGACACTTCCTTTTGAAGCTTCTGTTCTGTTAGGGTCTTAGTGACTCATAACTGTCTTGGCTCTGAGGCTCTGTCTCTTACAGTATTGGGAGGGGATTTAGGGTCTGCTAGAGGTCACTGAAGACCTCTTCAGGGCATTATCCTGAAGAGGCCCTTGTGACCTCCAGGCCCATTGTTAAAGATAAGCACTGTTGGGGGCGGGGGACCAGGATGGCCCCTGTGATACTCTGCCCTGGGTAACCAAAATGGAAGCGAGGTCACTTGACCTTTGAACCCCTCAGCTTGCTCTTCCCTGCCGTTTGCTCTGAGTCTCCAGATGAGTCATTGAGTGGCTGGGGGAAGCTGCATGTCCCTGGGGCCTGGCCTCTGGAAGTCCCCTGTGTTTCAGTGTCTGGGCCCATTAAACCACATCTGTTGGCTTTGGAGTGGCCATTGAGCAACTGGACCTGCTGCTGCAGACTACACCCTGTGATGGCCCTGTCTCTGCGGCCTAGCGTCCTTCCCTCCGTGGGAAACGTGGGGCTCTGGGCCCCAGCTGGCTGATGGGGCTGACCCAGAATGGAGGCACCAAGCAGGCCATCACCCCCATCCTCCCTTTCACATTCTCATCTGAGGTGACGGAGGCCACAAGTGAGCTGGCACCCAGCTCAACAAGCTTGGACATCTCTGCAGAGTCAGTTCTGCGCCTGTCGCTCTCTGCACGGGTTTCCCAGGACTGCAGGACCCCACACCCCTGGAAACTGCATGTCTCAAGGGAACCAGTCATTGAGGTCTGACCTCTAGGCTCTGGGGCTCAAAGCTTTGGGGTGAATCCAAAGGGGCTGTACATCAGAATTTCCTGGGGATTCCAAAACAACAATGCACCTCTCCCACAGGCTGACATGGACATTGGTGTCTGTCACAGGTGATTCTGGCCAGCCCAGGTTGAGATGCGCTGGGCAGAGAACTCCCCAAGTAGATACCAAGATGTGGGATTTTTGTTTGTTTTGTTTTGTTTTGTGGAAGAAGGAGAATGGGTGTGAGTCAGGCAGAACCTTTGGTGTTCTGTACCCTGCCTCACTGGGGCCATCAGGAAACTGGGTTACTGAGTGTGGGTGACAGTACCATCAGATGTGTGGGAACCCAGCATATCTGCTCACCAACTAATGCTTGGGCTTGGTGCTCCCAGGTCCAGGGCCTCCTTGTTGTCATATCTGGAACAAGAAGCCCAAGGCACAGGGATAAAGACTTAGAATCGCTGTAAAGGTTTTAATACGGAACAGACACTAGGGGTGGGACTGGAGAGAAGGCTCAGCTGTTAAGAGTCCTTGTTCTTGCGCAGACCCCGGGTGTAATTCCCAGCGCCCACATGGCAGCTCACAACCACCTGTAGCTCCGGTTCCAGGGCATCTGACACCCTCTGGTGGCTCCCATATGCACATCATGCACATGGTGTGCTAAATACAGACAGAATGCTCACACACATAAAGTAAATGAGTCTTAGAAAACAGTAGACACTGAGGACAGAAACACAGCAGGTGAATTCTAAAAGAGAATCATACACCTGAAAAGGAACGGGGTGACTGTATACCAATTAGAAGTCAGCTGGCCTGCCTCCTGGGCCTTCTGTGTCAGATCCTTTGGGCAGACTTCACAAGGACAGCTCAGCGTCTCGAGGTGGTAGCTCTTACAGTGCTAGAGACGAGGGTGAGGTGCAGGAGCCGTTAGGAATTAGGCTCCCACTGTATAAAGTTATCCTAAGTCTGGGAAATTTTGCCTTGATAATTTTTATATTTTAATGTAATTTATGTGTATAGGTGTTTGTCAGCTGCATGTGTATGTGCACCACATGTGTGCCTGGTGCTCCATGGAGATCAGGAGAGGGCATTACATCCTTTAGAACTGGAGTTACGGGTGGTTGTGAGTCACCATGTGGGTGTTTTGACCTGAACCTGGGTCCTCTGCAAGAGCAACAAGTGTTCTTAACCACTGAGCCATCTCTCCAGTCCTCTTTCATTTTTATTTAAGTTTTTACATTTCTTTGCTATCCGTGACCACATGCGTGCATACATGCCATGGTACACATGTAGAGATCAGAAGAGAACTTACAGGAGGTGGTTTCCTCCTACAGTGAGTTGCAGGGATCAAACTCCTATGTCAGGATTGGCTGCAGGTGCCCTTACCTGCTCACTATGAGAACTATGCTAGGCTCTAACTCCCAAAGATCCACATGCCTCTGCCTCCCAACTAAAGGTGGGTGCCTCCATGCCTGATTAGCTCTGCTTTTTCCCCCTTTAAACTAGGTATTGTAGGAACCTTTTAAGATTTAATTTTTTAAATTGTGTGTATGTGTGCATGTACACACTTGAGTGTGGGTGCCCACAGGGGCCAGAAGTGTCAGATCCCCCTGGAGCTGAGTTACAGGCTGTTCTGAGCCAACTGACATGGGTGCTGGGAATCGAACTCAGGTCCCCTGTAAGAGCAGGTCATTCTCTTAACCACTAAGCCACCCCCAGCTCCCAGCCCTGTTGTCTACTCTTGACTTTTTGTCCCTATCTGTCCCTCAGGCATGGCCCACTCTGTGGTCCACATACTGTCACTCCAAGCACAGCAGGTGTGCGCGTGAGCACAGCCAGCCTCCCCAGATCCAGGAAAGGAATGTGCTGCCCACGTCATGCTCAGTCCGTTCCACCTGAGCCTCTGCTCCCAGGCCAGCTTGCACCACCTCTCCACCATCCTCCCCTGTTCCCCCTCCCACGGGTGTCTGTCTGGCCAGCCTGGACATGCATCTGATGGTCAAACACAGCCGTAGCCTAGGTGCCTGAACATTGCTACATTATCTGCTCAGCAACAGAGCACTTGGGTGCCTGCCATCTCCAAGCGGAGCAGCGAGTAAGCAGAGGGCTGCTAGCCTGTCTACGGCCAACCCCAGAAGCGGCCTCTGTCATGTGTTTTCTGGAAATCGAAACCAGACTAGGTTTATGAAGCATTTCCTGGGACCAGGCTGAGGAGAACCACACGGTGGAGCCTCTCAGCCCCACAGTCTGCAGAAAGCTTCAGAGGGCAGCCAGCAGGGAGGCTCCAGGACCACCTTCAGCAGCTGCCCGGGAGCCCCTGTCTCTTGCTTCCAGGTGAGTCCCACTCCACACAGCATGGTCACTGGCAGGTCACCGAGCCCAGGAGCCATTGCGTTCCTCCTAGACCTGCAGGGCCTCTGTGCAGCTGGGTGGGATGTTTGCTGAACAAGCATCAGCTAAAGGGGCAAGTGCGTTAGAATTGAGCCCTTGGCCCTCTCCTGGCTCTGTGGACTCTCTCTCGCCCAGGCCTAATCCCACCTGCACAGAGGTACTGAATGAGCCAGCATAGACAGACTTGTCCCAACTTCCCACACAAAGGAGTCAGACAGAGGACAGCCACGCCCACCTGCAATCTTCCCAAGGCCAAAGTTCCTGACCCAGCATGGACAAATCTGTTAGCCACACCTTATAATAAATGGAGAGGATGGGCACCTAGTGCAGTTTGCCTTGGGACTCAAGTTTCCCAGAAGCCAGTGTTCCCTGGGATTAAACTGGGTGATGTCTCAGCACACGGATGTGGGGCTCCCTGGCTCCTTCCACCTCTGCCAGCGTCTGTTCGGTAGAAGGGGGTCACCCCTGGGCAGACCCCAACCTGGGGTCACCAGCTGTGTGATCTGGAGTCAGTCGACTCC